TCACCTGGTCACACACAATCTTGTATTACAGCTAAACAGTACACTAAAATAGTTTCAGTTTCTGAAAGATTTTAAGCGAGAAATAGTCAACACAGTAACAGAATCTAGCTTCATATTTGATCAGCACTGCCTAGTTTGACAGTTTGAGCTGAGTTTTGTGCGCTGAGCTGGACAGAATCGCTGAAAGCGACCTGTCAATTAAAAGTTAGCCCCGCCCAAAAGCACACGCGGCTTTATCGTCTATTTTAAATTAAATTAGACCATAATTTACTAAATGAACATCATAATGTATTGAATAAAAAATAAAATAAAAACTAGCGACTGAGACCCTAAACTTATCAGGAACCTGTTTACTGAGCCAATAAAGTGTCAAGTCAGCTCATTCTCCATTCAAGTGAATGGGATCGCTGTGTTATTGCAGCCAACTGTGCTGCCACCTGCTGGAATTTACACAGAATGCAGGTTTAAGACACTTCGGGGTCGGCTTCACTTTTCAGAACTGGAAGCTCTGTCCATTATATATACTGTCAATGGTCTAGTTCTATTATATCTACTGTATGCTTTAGCCTGCAGCAGATATGAAGAGTGGTAAGCTCAATTCTTTCTAACTCCAAACCCCAATTTATCAGTCCCAAATGACGCGGACTCAAGTGACATCACTTTTATCCGACTTCCCACAGCTTCCTCAAGTGCAATATTTAAAGGCTTTTTTCAAATATGCAGTTGGACTCCTCAAAACCTGGAAATATTTTCACCAGTGTGGTCACACTAGCCTTCTGGTCAGAAGACAAGTACAAGTCAGCTTTTTCAAGCCTACCCCAACCCCTGTGTTTGTGGAAGTGCAGAAAAGTGCAACAGAGCAAAGCGTATTGTTTAATGTACACCTTGCTTCCATGACTATGAATCACTCAAGGGGCCAGTATGCTTTCACCAGGGGCGTCCAACAATCATGTCCACTTCATGCAGTGATTGGCCAGGTGTGTGGAGTTGCCGTTATCGCAAAAGTCTCTCTTTTTAGTATTCCCGCAACAACGTTGGTCAGAATTGGCAATTTTCTGCCCGACTTGGCTACTTCTTCTTTGATTGCGTGGGTCATAATTCTTTTTGACAGCTTGAGATGATTTGAGCAATTATAGCTACAGTCCAGTGAGACGGCTTGTTCTCACCTCCAGTATGATTGAGACGGACAGAGCCCTGAGCACGGGCGGTTGTGGCTCAGAGGCAGAGCAGGTCGTTCCTTAATTGGAAGGTTTTGGGTTCGATCCCCGGCTCCTGGTGCCACATGTTGAAGTATCCTTAAGCAAGATACTACTGATGATGCTGTGCATCAGTGTGTGAATGTGTGTTAGTTTCTGTTCAATTGCCATCACTGAGTGAATGTGTGTGAAAGGGTGAATGTGGCACGTAGTGTAAAAGTGCTTTGAGTGGTCAGAAGACTAGAAAGGCACTATACAAGTACAGGTCCATTTACAATAAGCTCAACCCATCACACAGGGACTGAAAGCTGCTGATGGTTGGTAAACCAAGTTTTTTCCTATAAAATTATTTTTTCTCTGTGATAAATGCCTTGTAAAAGCTTCCAAATTGTTCATATGAGTGAAGACGTTTTTTTAAATATACTGTATCAAACCTCCAGATCTACTGCCACCATCACAGACTGTGCAGTATTTCTAACATTTACAGGGTGTATTTTTTTATTTTAGTAAAGAAACTCTAACCAGTTGGAAAGAGTTTGTAGATTATTTTTGTCTCAGAATCCTTTTGGATATGTATAACACTTTAAAATACCGCTGTGTGGAATAAACTTTGATGTGGGGTAAGACACAATGTCCAATTCACTGCAGCAGTTCTCCCTTTGAGACACAGCTTTTTGATATCCCCCACCAGCACTCACTGTAAATTGGAGCTGGACAGTGTCTGAGACTTTTCCCTGAGGCCAGCTGGCTTTTACCCGCAGTATGCATGTACTGTATAGGTATAAATCTATTAAAACCACTAGCTAAATGTGACATGTTGTCCCATTACCATTAGGTATTTTGCACACTGAACTAACGGTGAAATTCCACCGGGCACGGCTTTATGACACCATGTCTGCAACGTGGTTTGGCTCCGTCATCCGGCATCATTCAGAAGCAGAGTGTCATTGCTGACCCTATTTTGTCCTTTAGCTTATTAATAGGTTATAACCACCTCACTATCCACTCCCAAAACTCCTATAATTAAATTCCAGGCCTCGTCCTTTTTTGTGTTGTCAAATCTCACATGACCTGCCTGTAACTGGTTGACTTCTGGCGTGCTGCCACAGGTTGTGGCATGATGTTAATCCATAGTCAGCACGTTGTATTTATTTAAAACATTTTCTGGATTTGACTTCCTGCCAGAGCGATCTGCTCTGTGCTGCTTGACTTGGGGTGGGTTGCAGCTAGTGTCATGATAGACCAGAGCAGATCGCTTTGGTGGAATCACTAGCATTATCTAGAATGGGCAGGATCAGCTGGAACACATCGCAGAAGCACCTGGTGGATTTTGTCTCTATGGTAAAATCCAGGAAACTAAATGTTTCATTTACAATGCAATTCTGTTTTGTTTTTTTTGTAAGGCGCCAAATCATAAGAAAACTTATCTCAGAACACTTTTCAAACAGAGAGACCCAACAGTTCCCACCACTACAACTACCAGCACAAGCACTATGTCCAAATGGACAATGAGAATGTCTCCCCTTGATATTTTTGTTCAGCAACTGTCTATCCACACTAAAGTAAAGGGAGCGTGGGATCAGGTAGCTGCTTTATTAGAAGCAATCCAGTGATGTCAGGCCCAAAAGGAAGCAACAGCTTCAGAGACAGAAAACGTAAAATGAATCATTTGATTAATTTTATTTCAACAATAAATAAAGCTCAGGGAGAAATCATTTGATCTTTTCCTTTTGTAGGACAGCATCAGGCTGAGTGCCACTGAGCAGAGAGTGCTCTCAATGTCCACACAGCTCCCTGCTCTGGAGGGACTGTCCAACATGAGTCCACTCCACAAGCTCCTCTGCCACAAGACAACATGGCCCCCTCTCATCAGTCCAGGACATCCACAAGTGCACCTTCCAGTCAGCCAGTCCTCTCTAAACAGAAGGAGCAATACAAAATGTGCTGCTTTTTTCAATTGTTTGGCATTCTGTTATTTAAATGTGTTGCTTTATATATTCTGTATATATATATTTTTTTTATAATTTTTTAATAAACACTTTTATTGGTGGCAAATTCAGTGAATTAAAAAACATTTTTTAATGACTAATTCTGGGTCCTTTTTGATCACTTATTCAGCCTATCAAAACACTGCAAGAAATGTATTAAATTATGAAATCATATTATGATATTGTAGGGGTCCTCCATCATTGATTTTGTTGATTTTGTTATATTTATATATTTGTCATAAAGTCTGAACACACACTGTGTCTGCAAAGGTGTAAATCTTATCAGCGCTTTTAGGTGCACACTGTCACTGTACTCATGCTGCTGCATTCTGCAATAATATATGTTCTTGTATGAATAATATCTATCCATCCATCCATTCATTTTCTGTTCCTGCTTATTCTCTTCAGTGTTGCCGAGGACTGGATCCCAGCATGCACTGAGTGTTAGCAGGTTATGACTTGGACAGGTCAACCCTTTGGATACACTGGGAGCCACAGATAAATTAAAAAAAGATTCAGACTGGTCTGATGTGAGAACCTTAAGGCCTGCTGTGGTCTGAGAAGCTAGCAACTATAAATGACTGCAAAGAATTTTGAACGTTTTGTCACCAGTACAGAAACACTAGCTAACTGCTAAAGTCTGATAAGGTCGATATATTAAACTCATAACTAACAGCAATGGTTTAATAATGTGTATATTGATTACTGACGGTAATGTCAGGCTATTTATCAACGTTTTGTACTCACTTTCTAATGGCCAGACTCCTCGTGAAAGATATTGTAGTGTGTGACCCTGTTGCTGATCAGTCACGTAGTGTGAAAACCACAACTTCAAGACTCCCGATTAAAGGACAGGAAGAAGTGCGAACAGAAAAGAGATCTGACCACTTTGAAAGTCACATAGTGTGTGTTAAAGCTGCAAAAGGTAATTTTTATGAAGATCTCATCTCTCATTCCCAAGTTATCAAATACTGTCACTGGAAATGAGACTTAGCAATCAACTTTCTTCAAGCCTCCAACTCAAAGAGTCTTTATATATATCTTTCTTGGCTCTGATTGGTTACTGCAGCTTTAACCAAACCTCAACTATAGTGGTGGCAGGTCAGAAAAATGACATATTTTGCACTTTGGTTCAGAGGACTTGCAGCTCTGAAAATAAAAGTATGTAGGAAGAAGAATGGGACAAAGGAGATGAAGAAAGCAGGGAGGGGGGTAGGACAACACAGTTCTTACCATAGTCCTCTAATTAGAACAACATGGAGCATTGCTAAAGGCTATGTATGGGTGCGTGGGTGTGTGTGTGTGCGCTGATGGAGATCTATGTATTGTTTTTATTGTCCCAGCGGAAATAAAAGCTGTCTGTCTGTGCAATGTGTTTTAAGTTTTCCCATGAGGCTTGAGTGTGTGAAGCATCAGTCCAAAATGATATACACACCATGTGTACTGGTTTCTTACCAAAGCCACTAGAGCGTGAGTGTGGATAAAGAAACCTTTGGCCGCTGACTTCCTGTACATAATGCTTAGTGTCTCTATTTGCATATGGTTCATCCTTTGAAAGTTAATGAGATACGCAGTGCAACATAACTGGGAATGTCTACATCTGAAAGCAGCTGCTGTGGCTTGACATGTCAACAGGGATGTTGTTTTGAGAGCTGTGCATCTGTATATTGTTGACCGGATTTAGTTACGCTCTGGAAGAGCAACAGTTCTGACAGACATTTAAATTTGCAGAGACCACAGAGAATGAGAAAAAATTTGCAACATCTGGATGGACATCTGTCTAATGAGGCATCAATGACAGCACAGACACTTAATGTATAAAATCACATTATTTATTTACAAATAGATATTTTGCAGAGAGATTCCAAAGTTTCTGTAAAAGATTGTCATACTAAAAGACGATTCTGTTGTCTCTTAACTTGAATTGTACAACAAGTGTGACACAGTGAGCATAAAATACATGCACATATATGTACACTCTGTTCCTGTCACCAAAATAGATCTGGTTACAAAATATATATAGTGCTCAATATAAACATCTGTGGATTTCTGTTTCGCCAGCTGACTCGCTATTCGTATTTCACAAGTTCTAGGTGTTGTATACTAAAATAACGGAGCTGCTAAAGCTTAGCAAAAATAGACTGCGGTCTCTCCCCATAATGTTACAGATGTGCAGGTTCTGCATCTTCAACAGCAAACACTGATTTGTCGTTGTTGGCTGAGGACGCCGTTCAGGAAAAGTGTTTTTTTCTTTTTTACAGCAGTGAAGGCAAAACGAGTGTTTCGCCCATAATTGTGTCTGAGGTAAAACCAGTGACACAGAGGCTCAAGATCAGGTACAGAAAAGGCAAAAGAAAAAGCATTCTGCACAGCAGCCTGTTTGCTAATAATATAATGAGACTTCTGGGAAAAGGGGTCTCTTTTTACAGGAAAGAATTAAAGATCCCCTCCAGACATGTATTATGATATATGACAAACAGTCTGCTTGGAAGTGTGTCTGATATGGGTTTTTTGCTAAAGAAAAATTATAAATTCCACATTAAAACCTGTCCATAAAAAAAAGTCCAATTTGTTCATTTCTAAAGTTTTCAGTGGATGTGCACTGGTGGCTTCAAGTTTCTACATTATACTGTACTGAATGGACTGTTTTAAATTATACAGCACCACAACAATGATGCTAGAATTACATGTTTTGTAAAATCTACATATAGTGGCTTTAAAGCGGCAGTAGGTAATTTTTAGAAAAAATAATGTTTTGTCACATTGCTGAAATTTTCACTATATCCTGACAGTAGTAAATGAGACAGATAACCCCAAATCATCAAGTATCGATGCTGGGAATGAGACTCAACTATCAACTATCTTTAAGCCAACAACCCAAAGCGTCTTTCTATCTTTCTTCATTCTGATTGGTTGTTTTCGTTCAGGCCCAGTAGATTCTTACAAATGCCATTAGGAGCACTAGGAGGAGCCAGAGGATCAGGATTTCTTCACAGATTATCTGTCTCATGTACTACTGTCAGGATATAGTGAAAGTTTCAGCAAATATGACAAAAAGTTATGTATATAAAAGTTACCTACTGCAGCTTGAAATGAGTTTAGAAATCAGGTACATCATCATTTCTATACAGTGTAATTTAATTATAACCCTAACTGTAACCCTGTATTTTGAAAAATAAACAAACTATACCACTCTCAGATTTACTTGACTGGGACGTGGGTTATTGCTGTACAGCTTTATAAAGCCTGGTTGCAAAAGAAGAAAACAAATCTGAATCTATAGTACAGCGATGATTATTTACAGGCAGCGAGTGGATAGGCTCCAAGAGAACGATGTGGGTGGCAGGAGGAACTGAAACTTTTTAACAGGGATTCAGCATCAGTGAGAGTCTCACCATGGGGTCCCTCCGCTCTGCATCAATCTCCTCTATTGGGGCATAATTGGGTAAAAGCTAAAGGAAAAATAAGTTAGAGTGAATTGGTTTTCCAGTGACTAATGACTGATGTCAGAGAGGCTGATAAACAGAATGGAGAGGTCCTCAGTTCCCCTCACTCTAACAGTCCTCTAACAAAGCGCTCTGACGCCCTCTGCTGGGAGCTTTAGGTAACTCCTATCACAATAACTCTACTTGTCCAAGTTCACTACCTGCCAAAGGTTTGAAAACTTAAAAAAATACCCGCCATGAAAAATGTAACTGGACAAAATGATGAGTACACATACACAGCACCGTTTTATCCACAGAATCTACTGCTGTACTTGCTCAGTCACATAAAAGGGTTCAAAAACGTTCCAACAAATAGAATTTTATTGCTGAAGACCCAAGCAGCCCACTTTTCTTCTTCTTCTTCTTCACAGTACGAGTATAGCTTATAGTGTTTCTGCCATTCTTCCTGTCACTCTCAGAAGCACATCGAATAAAGCCGACCATTAGTTGTAAATAACTAGTCAATCGGTCAGTCCAACAGGGGAAAAAAAGATTGTCTAGTTCTGCAGTTCAGTCAATTCACAGCAAGGACGCTGGCTGTGCCAATCAGTCTCTGAGCAAAATGAAATAACATTTTTCAAAGAAAGAAAAACTCAGTGATGCACCCAATGTGTCCTCTTGGGAAAAATAATATTAAGGTAAATGTTGGTAATATTCAATCAGAGTTCCAGAAATCCCTCCACAGTTTATAAATCTACAGATACGCTGTGTATGAGAACCCTAAGAAATCATGGTACCAAATTTTAATAGTGACTGGTTTAGAGATTGTAAGCGCCTGTTGGCAAGAATGGAGTGGAAACACTAACTCAAACTTATGAAAACAAGGCTTGGAGGCTGTTTTAAAACATCAAAGTAAAGATCTTAGAAACTCCAACTGGAGGTTGACAACATACAACAATCTCCAGCTTTAAGACCCAAACATACTCTGTGTAATGGCACAAATACAGATGCTTCAGGCTACTGTGATTTTATGAGTGAGAATGAAAACAGCTGTATGTTTTCACATATAACTCTTTTCCGGGTTCATTTTGGCCAGTTTTACAATAGGGAATACAGAACTGAGGTGACTAAAAGCAGCTCCATCCAGGACTTGAAGGACAACAGGGGACAGGAGAGGTTAGGTGGCACCAGAGCTGGTGACTGTTGGAACAGTTTCATTTTGTTTCTCTCAAGTTTAAAGTGTGCTTTATGATGAGTTAAAGGTCTAATGTGTAACATTTAGGAGAATCTATTCATAATATTCATAGGTATGTTTGCATTAGTGTATAATCACCCGAAAATAGGAATTGTTGTGTTTTCATTAGCTTAGAATGAGCTGTTTTTATCTACAGAGGGAGCAGGTCCTCTTATGGCGGAGTCTGCCATGTTGAACCACCATGTTCCTACAGTAGCCCTGAACAGAAAAACCAAACACTGGCTCTAGATAGGGCTTTTTGCATTTTTCACAAGTTTTGCTGCCACCATATGTTCTCCTACACGTTTGGAAGGCAAGCAGTGTTCAGTTGGTTGTAATCTGCATCTTCACCGTTAGATGCCACTAAATCCTACACAGTGGTCCTTTACAAGGCAGTTAAGCTAGTCTTAGTTGGGTAAAAGAGAAATATTAATTCAGAAGGTGTATGGTATGGTATGGTGGTATGGTTGTATTTTTCTGTTTAATACAGGAAATATGTGTTAGAAAATTTCCTTTCTTGACATTTTGAGTTTTTATTCTGTTTGTTGAAGCTATGACAGCTTAGAACACCTAGCAAATTTACTGCTACTCTCCTAGCTGAAACATTCACAAACATATCTGCAATCTGCGGTTTATGGGATGACGGGGGCCAGTTGGAAAATTTGTATGTATTGCCCAACACTATACTATATTATTATACTATACAGACACAGATCGATGCAAACTTGCCCATGGACACCAGACAAGCACACCCTACAATCGCTGGTTTGCATAGGCGAACACAATGCACAAGATGGTGACTTCCTGACAGCAAGAAGAGCTCCTTTTGTAGAAATGTTGGTGTGACCTGACCCCTAACATAATTCTAGAGTCACAACGACAGTCATTTCTGTCATTGCAGCCCAGTTAGCCAAAGGACATCAGAGTACACCTTACTCTTACAAGTATGTACAACCCATCATTTGTGCACTTACAGAGAGTATGTTTACGGCTTTATGAACAGTGATGGCCCCGCCACCCCCTAAGCTATGCCATCACCAACAAAGCTACCAGCAATGACACATGCAGAGGTATATAAATAAGCATTAATATATCGTACAAAAAAACACTGACTGATTCCAGCACAAGTGTTCTCTACAACAGCAGAGTCAAACAAAGCTCAACTGTTAAAAACAAGCCCATGACATTAAAAACAACTGTAGATAATGTAGATTGCATTCCCAAGACCATTTTACACTGTAAAACACCAACATTCCTCTGCTGGAGTGCAGCAACAGTTCAGCAACCTCAGACGGAAGAGGCAAAGATGCCAACGTCTCTATGAGCCTATACAGAGCAGAATGCAGTGCAGCCATAAGACGTTTTGAGTAAGGGTTGTGACTCTCACCGTCTTCAACAAGCAACCCACGTGTCTCACTCAGGTGAGGCTCAAAGGCGTTAAAGGATCATTTTATTTGAACAGTCCGCCAACAGCTTATAGAGTATTTGGAACAATTCTACTGTTTTGCTTTGTCTGATTATCTATAGAGTATATGTGACAACTCATGAACATACCAAGATGTTTTTGTGCCTAAACCTAACCAGTATCAGAAAATGGTTTTATTTGTTGAATCTCAACTAATAAGCTGCTGAAATGTTACAAATACTCTATAAACTTCCTGTTGGCAGACTATTCAAATAAAGTCTTACCAGATAATTATGTTTTATTATTATTTTATTACAACTGTAATAAGCAAAAATTGGACACCAAACTAGCCCTACGCCTGCTTCTTTTACATTAAAATGAATCCAACTAGCACTGAAAGCTGCAGTAGGTCACTTTTGCAAAAATAACTTTGCTTCATATATTTGTTAAACTCACTATATCCTGACAGTAGTACATGAGACAGATAATCTGTGAAAGAAATCAGGTTCTTCTGGCTCCTCCTAGTGCCCTTAGGCACTAAGCAAGAATCCACCGGGCCACAATGAAAACAACCAATCAGAGCAGAGAAAGATGGAAAGATACTTTGGGTTGGAGGCTTGAAGGTGGTTGATTGTTGAGTCTCATTCCCAGTGTTGATATTTGACAACCTGAGAATGAGACTCAACAATTAACTATCTTCCTCTGATTGGTTGTTTTCATTCAGGCCCAGTGGATTCTTGTAAATTCCATTAGAAGCACTAGGAGGAGCCAGAGGAACCTGATTTTTTCACAGATTATCAGTCTCATGTACTACTGTCAGGATATAGTGAAGGTTTCAGCAAATATGACAAAAAGTTATTTTATAAAAGTTACCTGCTGCAGCTTCAAAATCCAATTTATGTAATTTAACCTGAACCCAAGCCCCAAAGCAACAAAATGCACCCAACCCGAGCCAAAATACTACACTAATAGACTCAACAACTTGGGTCTTATTTTCATATTTTTAGCCAAACGAGCAGTCGAATGATTAGACAGGTTGTGAATAAACTAAATAACATATAATGTAAATGACTTTACTGGAGGTGAAAGTGAGAAACCAGGAAGTGGATTGATGCTTACGATGGAACAGTTTGTGTAATGATTTGACTGTTGCCCTCATGTTTTCTCTTCCAAAAAAGCCGGACTAACCTTTCCAACTTGACTTACTAGTAATGTGGTTATTTTATCATTACTTAGAGAAATGACTGCCAGAATTACAAAAATAAGACCTATGTTGTAATAACCAGAAGTATCCATTAAAAGAGATGAGGCAGGCTGAGTGGAAAATTTGTACACCAAAAAGGTACATTTTGACGCTTCATCACAAATTGATGAGATCTATCAATAGGATCTGAGGAGGAATTGTTCTTCAGTGTTTAACTACACTAAAACCACGTATCATGGTGGCAGCGTAGACTACAGAGGCTGTCCTGGAATGGGTGTCTTGGGTTTATTCCCAGCAACCCTATCTACTCAAAATGAGTCACTCAGAATTAAGAGCATCAGCTGATTAACTGAAGTGTGTCATGTAAATGTACGGACATATCAAGGGTCTATAGACCATAGAAAATGGCTACAGATTTCCCCTCATCTCCATGGCAACTTAGCCCGCACGGCTGTCAGCGCTGTCAGCCCAAACCGGACCTGACCTGAATTCTTAACTTGGCAAAATAAAAATCACCCTCAACTGCTTCGTCAATGGAAGTGTGTTGAGGGCTGGGATCAGGAGAGGCAGAGAGAGCTGGGGGAGGAGGTGAGGGTGCACACTGGTGTGGGGAGGCCATAGTAGGAGGGGTCAGTGAAGGGGAAGAGGAAGAGGAGGAAGAGGAGGACCCCCAACAGGTAGGAGGAAAGGACGGTGAGGCGGTGGGGGTGCTCCAGCGCCGCACTGATGGCAGGGAAACCCATGTAGTTGCAAAAGGAGTGGCAGAGCACCGGACCCATCAGGTGACCTGCAGCACACGGGAGGAGGACATGTTAACACTGGAGGGGTGTAAGGGTACAGGGACTCCGAACCATTTGGTACACGATGTTTGGTTCAGTAGACTACTTTTTTAGCCTAATTAAGCTTAAAGTAGGAAATAGATTTTCTGTATCCGTGAGTAAGCTTTTGATAATATTCATAGAGTGTACTGATTAAAAAGCTGCTAGAATTGCACATTAAATTCAAAATGGCCAACTTCCTGTTGGGTTTGGTGTATAGGTCCAAGAGGGTTTTCTGTATGTCTAGAGGTGATACATGTGCCTACCAATTTCATATATCTCCATGATACAGGACGCTGGAAGTGCTTTTTTGAAAATATGTAGGAGGCGCTATTGAGCCATTTTGCCAGACCAATGCGCAAGATCAATATATAATGTAAAGTTCTACCATTTAGGACCAGAGTTTAATAAGTTTGAGGATGTTTTGCCCTTCCAAAATGCCAAAAACTGTTAAAAACAAAACACTGACATTGTTTAACAAGATTCATAATATCTAGTCAATCTGCTAGGAATAGTACATAAAAGTCTAAAACATGTAATTTCCTGTTGCCAGTAGGAGATGATGATTGAATATTTGCATGTAGTTGTGTAGCTGCAGGGCGGGACTCTTATCAAGCATTTTGGTGCGGATTGGAAAAAGTTCTTAAATAATTAACAACAACCTCCTTTTTCTTGGTAAAACATTTGGGGGTCATGTCATGGGCACGCCCATCAATGAAAACTCAAGATTTTGATAACGTTTAATTAATACAGCGTGTGTAAATCGGCAAAAATTTCAAACATATCAGTGCCACTGGGGCTGGTCTTTAATGGCTGTTAAGCCATTTTGCCACGCCCATGTGCAAACCCATAGAATACGTACATTTCCGCCACAACTGACACGTGGGCAACCTTTCATGTTTCATTTTCATGTTATGGAACATCAAAAACCACCAAAAATGTGATTATTTCAGCCCACTTTCAATAGGGTTCCTCTATACAAGAAGAAATATGGCCAATGAGCTGCAATTTAATACTTACATTTTTCAAAAGAAATGAAAGAAATGACCAATAATCAATTCAAAACATTGAAATAGATGTTGACTGGGTTAATGAAATATTTCATGTCCGAAAATTGTCTCCACCCATGATGTATAATGTCAATGAAAACTCCTCACCTGTTCTGATGAAGATGAAGGCAGTGTAGGCCCCAAACACCGCAGTGTAGGAGAACTGGAACACTGTTGTAGACCAAAGAAATATGGATCCTCAATCTTTCTGCTATTGTACCTCCAACACTGACAGTGTAATACAGTCACACTGACTATGTCTTATTTTCCACTGTTATACAGAATCTGACAATATCCCACATTTGATAAGTGTCACGTAAACTGCAGTTGGATATTATTAATTAGGTCTTATTCTGAATGGAGCATTTTCAGATTAAGACGTGGAATATGCTGATATTATTCAGGTATTAGGATCATCCTTTGGACATTGGTCATTAACAGCTAGTGTAAACAGAGTATGCACATCTACATGTCAATGGGAAAAAAGTGGACTGTTTTATGGATGTAAAAGTAGTCAGTGAATATCATTAGACCAGCTCTCACCAGCAGAGAGGAAGATCCCTGACAGCGTGCCCTGTCTGAACCTCAGCAGCTCGATCACATGGTGGAAGTGAGCTGGAAGAGAGACGACAACGTGTAAAATGTGCCCAAGTCTTTAAGACTGCTACTTAGATTAAAAATAAAACGCAAAATTATAAAAACTAGGAATATTAGTGCTCTTTCAGATAATATGTTCTTCTGAGGTGCAAAAAAATGCATCATCCCCTCGTGCAGATTCATTTGAAAAGTCTACACTGCCCCCTTCCTATTTCAGCATAAAGCCAGATCCATAAAGAAATGGTCAGCATCGATCCCATCCAACACCTTTGGGATACACTGGAACGCCGACTGCCGACCAAGCCTCATCACCCAACAGCCCAGTTGCAAAGCAGCACATTGACGCCCATGCTTTTGGAATGACCTCAAATACTGTATGTGGGTTCAGCTAAGCTTCATATGTTTTCGTATGTTTCATGATGTTGATTCATTTTCATTAATTTGCAGCCTGGAACAGTGAGAAAAATGCATCCAAAGATCCAAAAGAGTAGAGCAAGGATCTGAAAACAGCTGGAAGGAAACAGTGGCAGAACTCACCCACTCCAAAGAAGAGGGGGCAGGTGAAGATGGCAGTTGAAGGACCAGCACAGGGGACCAACATGGGCAGCATGCAGGCCCTGAACACCAGCTCCTCTGTTAACGGTGCCACCACCTGATTCCTCAGCCAGCGCATGTCGCTGAAACACAACATCCAGAACCAGGGGTCTGCAGGAAGACGCAGGTTATTACATCAGGCACTTCAGCACAGAATGATGTGTATTTTCTGAAAATATATAATATAAGAAACGGCTGTTATGTGGCTGTCAAATTGCACCGAAAATTCTAACAGCCCTAAATGTCATGAAAAAAAAAATCAAAGAGGATAAAGGACAGCATGTTGGCTGTCTCACCAAAGGCGACCCGGATCCCATCCATGAAGCTCCAGGGACAGTCCATAGCCAGCTGCATGAGGGGGCCCAGAAACAGGACCTGCAGCACGGGACCACACACACAAAACAGGTTGTGTGTTCACCCAGGGGGTTGGGTTTGACTGAGAGGGGTTTTATCACTTCATGGATTACTATATGTACTGTAGACAGTTCAACTGCCAGTGTTTATTTACATCCTTTAGCTAATTGCCACAATTTAACTGTTACCTTTTGCCACTTTGACCATGTATCCACTTTTAGATGATTTTTTTCAATAATCTATAGATTAAATAATTTTTTAACAATTTTATTTTTCCAACCCAAACTTCAGCCCAGCCAGTGGCTCGTCACTATGTGTGTGTCTTACCATGGTGAGCAGCAGAGGAAGTGTGATGGCAGGAATGAGGCCTTCAAATCGCATCCCCATGAGAGCTAGTAACGATGGCCCAGTCTGACACACACACACACACACACACACACACACACACACACACACACACACACACACACACACACACACACACACACACACACACACACACAGACAAATGTGTCAGACAGCAGCAGCACATTAATGAATAAATGCAATCCTTGGGTGTTCAAACAGAATGGTGGTCAGTGGTTTCTGAGATGTGGACTCACCCTGACGCCTGTGAATTCTCTCCATGCCCACACAAAGAGAGGCGACAGGCCTGACACGATAAGCACACTGGTGAAGCGTCTCTTTATCACAGTGGGGTGATCCCTGAGCAGTGGAGTGGAGACAGGAAAATCACCATCATCAACAGCACAGAGGACACAGCTCAAGCTGCCACAGCCAGCTGAGCAGGAACCACTTAAAGGCAAAGGTAGTCCAAAGATTGATACGTGGACACTTCTACGATACCACGTTTTAAATTATACAGCACTTTCGTTTGATGGTATCAAAAGTACCAAAGTGAGGCTGAAACAATGGGGCAGAAAATCAACTGCTCATTATGTTTCAGTGACTCTTCCTGTACCAGCACTGTGTGCAGGTTGTTTGTTGATAAAAAACAAACAAACAACAACAACAAAAAACCAAAGTAAAAACCAAATAAGATAGTTGATTGTTAAGTCTCATTCTCATTCTCAGGATGTCAAATATCAATGCTGGGAATTAGATTCAACGATCAACTACCTTCAAGCATCGTTCTCTCTTTCTCTGCTCTGATTGGTTGCTGTTTTCATTCGGGCCCGGTGGATTCTTGTAAATCCCATTATGAGCACTAGGAGGAGCCAGAGGAACCTGACTGTTACACAGAGTATCTGTCTCGTGCTACTGTCAGGATATAGTGAACGTTTCAGCAAATAGAACAAAACGGTTTTTTTTATAAAAAGTTACCTACTGCAGCTTCAATGTAAAAGCATGTTGAGTGTCCAGTCACATACTTCTAGATAATGTCGGAGTGAACGCAGTACAACGGAATCACGTAGTAAAGAGCAACACAAGCATACAGTGCTAACAGAGAGTGTGTGTCACCTCGGCAGGTCGCTCCTCCACACGTACAAACTGCCGACATAAGAACAAGCCAGCAGCAGACAGGACAGCACCGACACCCAGCATAAACCTTCTGGAGGGACGAAGTCGCCATTGCTGTGTTTCATCTCCTCTGTCAGAAGGGTCGGTGATAAATCCTCCTCCATTGCCATGGCGACTGCCTGTTGAGAGCTAACCAAACAACTACTTGGCACCGGGGCGGTCGCTGGACCATCTAACGGGATCAAACGGCCTCCAACATGAGGTGTGAAGTTGTCAGCCGTCTCCTTTCAAAATGTGAGCTAACGTGGCTAGCTGGAGTGCTAGCTTCCGCGGCGCAGTATATCGACGTCATCAAATGTTTTTTCTTCTTCTTCCAGGCAAAGGCAGCTAGCATTCTTGTTGTCGCATTGCCGCCATCTTGTGGAGTTGATCATGCTCTTCAATGTTCATGTCCTTCGTTAGGTGTGTTCCATAAGCCCTGTTCAAACAGCCATTGTCTGCTTCCTGCCTCCATTACTCCAATATATACACCGTTAGTAGATTCATTCACTTCCATTCAGTGGGGCTTTATTAGCATGGGAAATAAACGTTTAACTACATTGGCAACGCAAGTGTAAAATATATGTACAGTATATACAGATTAGTAAATGGAGTTGCCATTTGTCAAAACATCGAATCAAACTTAAACAAAACTGCTCTGTTAAAAAAAAACATCAGCCCACCCAGGTGCATGCTGGTCCTATGCTTGCCTCACATATATCCTCAGGTGTGCAGAGTTTACGCAAAATAAAACAAAACATTTATATTTCTGACATACCATAGTATGGTTTCATTAGTATATATTAGCGAACATAAGAATGGTTGTGTTTTTGTTACCCTAAAATCAACCGCTTTTATCTTTATCTTGTTTCTACAGTAGCCCAGAGACTTTCACATTTTCCGTGAGTTTCCTGGCCACCGTAGTTTATCCTTTATGCTTGTAATAGGAGGGTAATGGGTGGGGGTTGTAATCTTTAACTGTACCGCTAGATGACTTTAAATCCTACACACTGGTCCTTTAATCAGAAAATATAAACATATCATAAAAAGTCTAAAAAAGATCCATTTTGTAATTGTTCTTAAACTTTTGACCATGTCACACGAGATCTTCAGCAGCAGATGGAGTTTGCCCAGTTGCCATGGAACTGTAGATGTTCAAATTTGCATTCTTTTTTTTCGGTTCATGTTGGCATACTTTTCTTGCTATTATGCATCCCTGAACAATCTCTGGAACAGAAATCACAAAGCACTCGTCAGGTAGACATTATGAAGTACTTTTGATGTTTTTAAAATAGTTTTAATGTATTTTTTTCTTGCATTCTCCACACAGTTGTCAGTAGTTTAAATCAATTTGAACAGACTCTCATATGAGAGTTCACTGCAGAGGAGAGAAACACAATATGAAGAAAGAGCATGTGCTCACACTTGTATATTTTTCATAATCCATATTTGGAAATAATAACATTCAAATATATAGCATACCAACCAACAGTTTCCATGAAGTGTTCAAACACTGTCCAAAATAAGTTTAAGCAAGTTTAAATAAGTAATAAAGAGTTTATATGTGACTGTAGTGTCTTTATTCTACTAGAACATGTTTTTGTTTGTAGAAAACAGATACTGTCACCAGATGGCGCCAAAGTAGTGTTCTAAACTGGCATTCATTATGACTTTTATTAGTATTACAAAGCAACAATCTGGATTTTCTGTTGTATTTTTATGCATTATTCAGAGCCTGGGGCAGGATGAGACCTTTTGTTTCATGATTCCAGGAGTGCTGCTCAGCCTGTGGAACAGCATTCTTCTGTGGTTCTGGAGGAGCTTTCTCATGTCTGAGAAAGAAAATGATGGTGTCATAGTGACCTCACCTTCCTCGGCTGCACAAAATATCCTTCACTTGATTAAAATCATGATTTGTGTTACATAGGACAGGTCAGGCATGTTTCTTGATTATCATGGTTTCCTTCAGGTACTTCTTCACGACTCGAAAACAAGTTAGAAAATAAGTTTAATTTATAGGGGCCTCCCACTTGCCAATAAGAAGACCATTGAGCTAAAGAAAATGTCTATAGCCCTCCAAGAGGTTAGCAACAACTAATAGTAGTGACTGATGATGATGAACATGAAGAAGATGATGACGATGACAACATTGATGGGGGACAATGAGCAGTGATTATAGTAATAATAATAGTAATAATAATAATAATAACACTAATATCAGTAATATTAGCAATGGCAGTCAAGCAGGACCATGGCAGGAGGCTCCACCAGGATCCATGAGAACCTGTGAGACGAGAAAGCACAAGAACTCCAGGGAAGAAGTGAAGTTAGTAACATGCATTAATGGAACATGAATGAGTGCAGAAAGAGAGAGGAAGAGAGGAGCTCAGTGCACCATGGGAAATCCCCCTGCTTTGAGCTAAATATTAATGTTAACCTGCTCACAATGACAATGCTAACATGCTGATGCTAAGCAGGTATAATATTTACCATGTACACTGTCTGGGTTTTGCATGTTAGCATGCCAACATATGCTAATTAGCATCAAACACAAAGTAGAGGCTGTTTTTAGGTATTTGGCATAGACTATAAATGAAAATGGACATAGACACCCATAGGTTCACGAAGAGCTGGCAAAGAGGTGAAGCTTAATATGATTTAAATGGATAGGTTCTATAAAGATTCACCCCCCGTACAGTTGTCATTAATGGTGAAATTAGCTATAGAGACCTGAACAGTTTTATGTAACAGGCTGTAAACATGTTTATTTCTGCTGTAAAGTTGGGCTTTTTAATATGGGACCTTTTGGTCACAAAGCAAAGAATTGGAGAAATGGAAATGTAGACCTGATGATGGCACTAAATGAAATGTAAGGGAGGGCATCATAAAAATGGTTAGAATTCATCCAAAGGGAACATTAATTAAATGTCTGAACCAAATATCATGGAAATCTATCTGATGGTTGTCAAGATATGTCACTCTGTACCAAAGTGGTGGACTTACTGACAGTCAGATGGCCCATTGGCTTAATGTCCGTGAGCACCAGCTCAGTTGGCCAAGTTCAATTTTTGTGAAAGAGAGTCAATATGAGCACTTAAAGGCCCCTCCAGTCGAAAATCAGTTTTTCTTCTTGTTCCTACAGTGTGATTTTTGATCTTCACTGTGCAAACTGATGTATGTGCAGTCCACTGAGAATGGACTTTACAGTGAAGGAGGAGACAGCTTGTGCCAGCAGGAAAACCTTCTTTTTATTTTTATATTTGTATATTTAGAGATTCTGGAAGTTTTAATAAGGTACAAGGAGTAGATGACTTTTTTATTGTGGAAATTATACTTTGCTTGTAGAAAGAACATATCAGAATATCATATATATGAATGTGAAGTCCATTTTCTTATGTATATAAATATAAGTAATTGTAACTGTAATTGTTTTTGATGAGTTTTGATGATTTGCACTATATTATTTGCATAATGTAGTTTACTTTAGTTTGTAATAAACTAACTCTTTATTTATTTTAAGCAGAGGTCCGGGTCAGGCCCAAAACTCCTTCAGGCTCACACAAAGTATTTTTGCACTTGGGTCCTGACCCGATCATTAAAATTGTTATACATTTTTTTAAAGCAGAAATTTGGGCTTGGGTGGTGCTAGGGCCCAAAACGGCTTCCTAGGTTTTGGCTCGCACTGTTTTTTTATGCAACTGTTATTAATGAGTGAATTTGGTATTTATTCATTTTGATAATAATTTGCACTATATTATATGTATATTTTAGTTGACTTTAGTTTGTAATAAACTATTTTATTTATTTGTTTGTTTGTTCATTTTAAGCAGACATTTGGTCCCTGTCATTTTTTGTTAATGAGGATGGGTGGAATTTGACTCCTCCAGTGATGGATGCAAGTGATATTGTGTTGTTGTGTATACATAACTAGATTGGTCTTGAAGGCACCACCACCAGATTTGGAGCTCCAAATTTACCAGCATCACCTAAAGGCAACGCAGTATTAGTGTGACAAGATTTTTTTCCCTTCTCGAGCCAGAGAGAGAGAGAGAGAGAGAGAGAGAGAGAGACACGAAGGCGTGACATCGGGCCGTCTGCTGTTATATCCGGGAGGAGTGAACGGGTCTCAGTCTCCGGTGTAACGTGAACGGAGGAGAGGCGATGCTACCGCTCCTGATGCCCTGCGCTTCTTCTCCTTCCCTCCTGTTCTCCGTCTTTACGCTTCCCAGGCCGTACGGGGATTGACAGAACCCTGCAACACACACACACACACACACACACACACAATCACACACTAACACACACCCAGAAAAGGAATTACGCACAGATCCGAGCCGGTCCCGGACCTCCATTGGCAAACATCAGCGGGTACGGGCCTGTTTATCTGATTCCTCCCATCACCTGTCTTTATTACAGCGGCTCCATCCTCAGGAGAGCGGATGGCAGGAGACGCCAGCTGGCCTGTTGTCTGCTTTAGGAAAGTGATGGAGGTTAAAGTCACCTTTTTATTTGCGGATTGTTGACTTTATCACCTTTTATTCAAGCTGAATCTTTATGAGGTAAATTGATTGGTAAGTGACGCAACATTGAGTTTTCTGGCGGATGGCTGTGCGCCTTTTTCTTATTTACCTCTACATCACTGCTGCGTGTGTGTGTGTGTGTGTGTGTGTGTGTGTGTGTGTGTGTGTGTGTGTGACAGAGAGAGAGATGTGTGTTTGTGCGTAAGGGAGGGTGTGTGTGCGTGCTTCCCTGTATGTAGTGTGTGTTGTCTGTGCGGTGGAATCCCCCTGTGTACAAACCCTGCCTGCATGGGCTTTAAAATGGCACAAAGGGCTGTTTACGGCGCCAAAAACGGATATTTACTGTCAAAAAATAAGGAGATATAGATTCTGCGTGGATTTCAAGTGGAGACTGTTTATGTGCCAAATCCGATCAGGTTACTACATCATCACGCCTTCATAGAGAGTACATCCACACAGCGTGGCCATGGGAAAACGCAATCCGCTGCAATCCGCACAGACAGAGTAGGAATAATAAAAGGAGATAGAGGCCATGTTTGAATCATCCTAGAGCAGAAGTGAAGCGTTTCTGGCGCATTAACACTTCCATGTAAGATTTCCCTGCTTCTAGATGATTCTGCTTTCAGGGGGGAAAGGTTTGGTTGGGGGGCGGGTGAGCTCTAAATGGTAAAACACACAGTAGCAGCAGGTGTTATTCGTGATCCAACAATATCATAGTTTACTGAGTAGTGAGTCGTGTTTGAAGCTTGCTGGGTAATGACAGTTTTAGTCATGTAGGGGTTT